AGGAACCATGGCCCAGAAGTAGGAACAAACAATGGCGAAGGCTACTACCAGAAAGTAGAAAAAGACAAATCTTTACATACAGATGAAAAACCACCTGAATTTGTTTTTGGATTTGAGCCCAAGTTTTCATTTCAAGCTACTGATAATTAAAATTGTCCTGATGAGATCTTGACTAGGAATGAAAGGAAGCTATGAAGAAATACTCATTTTCAAATAGTCCCTTTGCCATGACTTCTTCAGGGACCTTGTTTACAATCTTCTTTACATGCACTTGGATTGGAAACAATAGTTTTAATAATTTTTCAGGAGAAGAATATTTCCATATTTGCAAGTAAGGGGTTCATTTGGCAAGCTCTGATCAAGCTGAAGAGTGTTTTCTATGAGAAACAGTCCAGGCATAATTTCAGAACTTAGCATTAATGGAATAGCAAAAAAGATTCAATTTTAAGGTCAATTTAAAACTTAATCAAAGACAAATTAAGACTGCAAATTTTTGCCAAGAGTTGTTGTTATTGCACATCTCAGTAGCATTTTAAATAGGTTTGCATCTCAGTCAAATTGAGGGAGTAAAAAGCTAATTATGTCCACCTGAATCACCCCTTTTTTTAATCCTTAACACATTGATTAGAGGAGGCAGATATTCCTCTTACATGTAACTACTTAAACAGTCCTGATTTTTATTGTAGAGAATAATAGTTATGCAGGTTCTCTTAATGGTTTAGATGAGTCATTGCTCAGCCTTTTAAATCTATAAACCACAAACACTGACAGGCATTATTAGGAAGTTTCAAAATGAATATTTATCTACCACTATATTCACACATAAACTTTATGGCCAATGTATACATTTCATAGCCATCCAAAATTGTGGATCATCAATTATGTTGCCTTATATGTTTTTTTGTCATATCTTTTTTCTTCCTCACTATATGTATATCACTAGCTAGAGATAGTTTGGTGTAATGGTTAAGGCATCAGACTAGAAACTGCGTGGCCATAAATCTAATCCTGTCTTAGCCACAAAGTCAGCTGGGTTACCTTGAGCCAGCCACTATTTCTCAGCCCTAGGAAGCAGACAAAAGCCCACCGTTTCTGAAATCTTTCCAAGAAAACTGCAGGAACTTGTCCACGCAGTCAGCAGGAATCAAAACCTGACTTGAAGGCAGATACGCAACACATATTCAAATATAACTAGCAAGCAAGTGGTTTTCATACTATTACATTACATGAGTGATTTACTGTCCCCCAAATCTCTTGGTTTCTGGCTTTCTTAAGTCATATTGGAATTAGAAAAATAGGGATCACAGATCATCTCATTCTCAGGCAAAAATCAACATTTAGGCCAGGAAGCCATGGCATGGATGGGACATGTCAGCCTAGCATGGTGATCCAATCAGGAAGCATGACCAGATTCTACTTTATTATAAGGTTACATTAATAGAATCTTGCCAGTACATTTCTTCCTCCTTGCCTTTACAACCCCCCAAGATAGGAAGAGTCCCTTCTGAGACATTTGCCATGCCCTCATTCCTTTTGCAGGCTGAGCTATCTCTTCTCCAACCATTCTACTAGCTGTGACTTTTCCCCCTGACCCCCAAGGTCATTTCCACATACACCACTTGATAAAACAGACTGGCTCCAGGCTGCCAAAAAAGGGAATACAAGGCTGTGTAGTCTCTCTTTGTTTATTCAACCTATGTGCTGAATATATGGAAGAAGATGAATCTAAATTTAACATGGAAGGGAGAAACATTCATAGCCTGCATGATACTGAGAACAGTAGCTGAAAATGAAAAGGATCTGCAAGCTCTAGTAATAAAAATCAAAGAGCATAGCAAAAATGTGACTAAAATTAAATATAAAGAAGACCAAACAAATGACAGCAGGGACAATGCCAGCCTATTGATTGATTACTGAAGGCTTTGGAAAAGATACTCAGATGCAATGATGTGTCTATATCTACAAAGATCAGAATTGTAAAAGCAGTGATATTCACTGTGACTCTCTATGGAAGTGTAATTTGGACTATGAAAAAGCAGGATATCAAAATTATTGATGTTTTTGAGCTTTGGTGTTAGAGAAGCCTCTTGAGAATATAACTGAAAGTCAAGAAAACAAACACATGGATAATTGAACAAATCAACCTTGAGTTTTCTCTTGAGGCACCAATTACCAGGCTCAAATGATCCTATTTCAGACACATTATGCAAAGACCTAGTCCTCTGGAGAAGGCTGTAATGTTGGGAAAGGTGGAAGAAAGAAAAAAAGAAGACAGCAAGGATGGATGGATGGATGGATGGACGGATGGACAGACTGACTCAGTCCCAGTGGCAATCAGTGCTCCATTAGAAGACCCAAAGGACCAGATTAGAGATAATGGGGAAAATGTGGTCACTAAGAGTTGGCACATAATCACTCTAAAGTCTTTCTGTCATGTGAAAATTTTCCTTAACTTTTATATGTAGCAAAAAAAAACTCAAATTGGGTACATTTAAGTTGAGCAAGGTAGAGATGACCCTGTTGAAAAGTTGTAACCAGGAACATGTTGTAGAGTTTTAGCAGAAAACTAAGAAGAACGTGCAATTTCTGATTGGTTTTAAATGGAACAAAAAGAAAACTGGTAACTAAAACTATTAATAAATTCAATGCACCACAGTCCTTGCAACCTTTCGCCTCCTAAGAAGTTGAAGGGAAAATATCAGCTCTGGATGCAAAAATAATTGCTCATTTCCAGCTTACTTAATCATGATAGATTTTCCTTCTCAAAAGTAAGATCCCTAGAGTGCCATGGAATATAGACTGACAGATGTGAGGTCATCATGAAACAGCTGCAGGAGAGTTAACAGAGCCTGTTTCAAACTACTGGAATATAACAAATATGTGGACACCGGCATCTTTGTTTCTAGAAACTTTTAAGAATGAGGATGATAGAACTGTGGAGGCTTATGAAATTTCAAACAAGAGGCACACTGATTGAAATATTTTTTTCCTTCTCTTCCAGACTTGTCAATTGATAGAACAGTTTCAGAAAAATAAAGGAGAAATGAGGGACACTGGTTATCTTACCAATTCTAGTGCTAAAGTTCAAAACAAGTAGTTTATGGAATTTATTCTCATAGATGCAATGACTGCCACTAGCATTGATGTGATGAGGGCAAGATGATGGAAGATAAGCAGTGGCTATATCTATAGGCAGCAGATCATGCTTGCCCACACTTTAAGAAAACAAGCAGGACAGTGTCTTCATAAAGCAGATTGTATGTCCAAAATGATGGTCTATTACAAGGAATGTCATTTCGTAGCCTTTATTCAGCAGCAAACTTTCAAGTAATTTTATTTGCTCAGACCATACACATCTTGCTTTAAAGCAAAGATGGGGAACAATGGCCTCTTTATGACTTGTGGCCTTCAACTACCAAAATTCTGGGAGTTGAAATCCACAAATCATAAAAGGGCCATCGTTCCCTACCCTGCTTTAAAGGGTAGCCAATGGTTATACGGCACTTTCACTGATCTGACACCAGCGATGTCCCACTGTGTTCCTTGGGTAACTAAGTCAGTTTTCTTCTGGTTGGACTGTAGTACAGCTCAAGCTGCAAAAAAATATCTGAAACACTGGAAGTCCTCATTTCTCTTTTAGGAACTCTTACAGTAAATCCTCTCGAAACTGGAGCAATTCTATAAACTTCACCAAAAAATATCAGCTATTCAAACCTGATATTAAGCCATTTAGTTTCTGTTCAGGAATCTGATAGCATCTTTTCTGACTAATGCATTTGTAAAAAGGCAGAAGCTTTCATGGGCTGCCACTTTATCAGATGCGTAGAACTGACAACTCACAAAAGCTTAGGACATTTAATTAAAAAAATTGTTAGTTGGAAAAGATGCTACCAGATTCTAATGTTCCGCCACCAAAGACTGCTGTTACTGTTTCTAATCACTTTTACAATTTCTCTGGGGTATTTATTTTGGTTTTTAGTGCTGGGTGTAATCCAGAATAACAAAGTTGGAAGGAACTTTGGAGGTCTTCTAGTCCAACAGCCGGCTCAGGCAGGAAACCCTACACCATTTCAGACAATGGTTGTCCATTCTGTTGTGGATCCCTACTTATCTAAGCAGCAAGCATCTGATTCCAGCCACTGGGCTCAAGCAAAACAAAACAGTAACTGCTGCTGCTGCTCCCTTTCTGATCTTGGTAACCATAATTTCAGCTCTTAAGAAAAGTGCCTGGCTGAAAAACTAATGTTATGGCATCAACACATCATGGCTGAGTTATATCAATGGCTCAGGCGTTTTGGACAATGATACAAAAAAAAAATGTACACTGTGTTCTACTGCCTTATTTTTCTTCTTTCTTTCAGAAATGTAGACAAGTGGTGTGTGTATTTTTTAACTTTAGGAACACAGCAAATTGAGGGACAGTGTACTGATGGAATGATTGTTTCCCCATTGGTTGGGCAGAGGAAATACTATGTGTGACGGGCTGCCAATATGATCTTGCCTGCTCTCAGTGTTGTGAAGATAGCAGGGATAAAAATGATGGAATAGCTAATTCTACTTCTTTTTTCTCCAAAAATCCAGGGAGTGAAAAGAATGTTATATGGAAGGATTATACCAGGGGGGCACACTAGAAAATATATAGCCAAGTACTATTTTTTAACAATTGAATTCTACTCTTCAATGAATTTCTCTCTCTCTCTCTCTCTCTCTCTCTCTCTCTCTCTCTCTCTCTCTCTCTCACACACACACACACACACACACACACACCACACAAACATTCACATACACACAGAGAGAAATAGAGATAGAAATGAGAGAGAGAAGAGGGAAACAGAGAGACAGAGATCCACTCTTCTGTGATGTATGTTATTATTGATGAAATTAAACTCACAGGAATTTTCTTCCCCTGCTGTAATGTATGTTATAAACATCCTTAATCTCAGTATTGTAATGACAGAAACATTTCCTGGACTTTGTGTAATTCTCACTTGCAGCTCTGTATGAATGGAAGAGGTTTCCATGATGAAGACAACCAGAATTATCTATGTGTTTGTGTGCCTGGATGGACAGGACCTACATGTCTGGAAAGTAATGTGTGTGAAATGAGCTGGTGCCAGAATGGAGCTATTTGTAAAGATGGAATCAATGAACACAGGTACTAACATGCCCTCCTTATGGCAGATTTCTCCATAATCCCCTGGGACATTAGAAGGCATGATTGAACTACTGTTTTCCTCCTGCTGCTTTCAACTGCAATTAAAATGTCATTGCTGTTGCATTTATCCTCTTCACTTTCTAAAATGTTATGGGCAGTAACTTGCAATAAACATGGCTATTTAAGTAAACAGATTGATTACCTAAGTCGTATTTCACAGACATACTTTTTTAAAAAACAAAGGAAGCATTGACTCAAGCAGAGAGTAAAGCAACTAAGGTACATCACTAATTAATATATCTGTTCCTTCTAAATAAATAACATTAGCTTCAGAAACAGAGGTTTTTCTTGGAGTTACAACAGCTTAAAAACATTATATGGTAATAGTAATAATGTAAAAATAAAATAAATAATTATAATAATGAAAAAATAATAATAAAAATTGTAAGATCTGAATATTGAAAGTTTATGCATAAGCCAGTTAGGGTGGTGATTATGAGCACACACTAGGTGCCATACCCCCCAAAATTGGATGAAAACCTGTACATTGACAAAACTTCCATTTGTCAATTACAAAAGACCACACTCCTTAGATCTGCAAATAATAATCTTTTTCTAGGTAAATTTGTGGATATGGTAGTTCTTCTAATTGATGCAATAGTGTCTTGCTTTATCATAATCTTAAGAAGCTCACTTGATTTAATAAATTTGAGTCATTTCCATAAAACATCATTCTTGGAATTAGTCATTCAGAATATGTACTTCATGGTTGTTACATGTTCACACATTTATTCAATCTTTGTCGGAGTAACTGACGTTCTCTGTGATCAGATCATCTTCTTCGCCATGGTTTTATTCTCCATCTGAAGATTACTACAGATTGTTAAAAGAAAAGTAGTATAGTTCCAGTATTAAATGATGTTCAGGAAGGGATGGGGGAAAGGATTTATGTTTTTGTTGGCTTTATTTTATTTTAATGTATATCCAGTAACTTTATTTTCCCTCTAGCCTATTGGATTGGGTACCATGTAGTGTACTACTCTATTTTTATTGTCAGTTTCTAGCCAGTGTCAATCCAAACATTTTCATTTCATTACCTAAAGATGATTCAGTATTATGCACAAACTCATTACCTCCAATTCTCTTTCTCAGCATTCAGTTTAAAGATTAGCAAAAAGATTTGTCTTTCTTTTTAACGCACCTGAAGCCTCTTCCTTTTGTATACCTGTCTTGTTCATCCCCAAATGTTTCCAAATAACTTTGCAGAAACCATAGAACTGCATGCGTTGTAGATGAAATATTGGTGGGCACTCTTGGGATGTTTTAGATCATGTCATTGAGATTCTTATGAAATGGTTTCCATGGGAGAGGTTGTTGCCTACTTGCAACATGGTGTTCATGGTTTTGGAAAATCACAAAATACTCATTCCTGTAGCTGCTTTCTGATTTTTATCTAATTAATTAAAAAAAACCTCTGGAAAAAAATCAATTGGGACGGGGAATCTGGGACACATAGAGCGAAGCACCATGTTAATTAAGAATGAATATGATAATCTCTTTGATCATTTCTTATCCCCCTACTTATAAAGCTGACACTAGAAAAAAAAAACCTTAGACTTCAACTTACGAGGTTCACTATTTTAAATTTTAAAATAGGCTCTAAAAATTTCTCTCTCTCTCTCTCTCTCTCTCTTTCTCACACGCAAACACATATGTCCTCATTATTATGTACTTCAACATAATTTGATTTTATTAATCGCATTATAGATCATTACTTCTGCTCATTTGACTTTATTAGCATGCTTCATTTTAAACAATACCAAAATTAAAAAGATAATTTGAGTTTTAATTGTTGTTCTTCACCTTAAGAATCTTTTCCTGAAAGTGAAATCACAAATCCCCCACCAAGAATGAATAATAAATGAATGAATGAATAAATGAGCAAGCAAGGGCTAGATAAAAATACTTAATTTATGATAATAGGTCAGTGACCCTGTTCCCAATTAAGTCATCTACATGGTAAAAGCAAATTATCTGTTCCCGTGTGAATTGTTTGTAATGTTGTATTCTATTGCCTGGTAGCACAAAATAAAAATACAAAGTAGCATCTCTGTTTCCAGGAATTAGTGATTTTTGAAATAATTAGCCGGTTGTGCCATATTATCTTGAATCTTACTGATTCCACTGTGGCTTGCATAGCACATATTTTTGCTGAATTCTGCTTTGGAGCCTTTGACACTACTTAGAAAGTAATTTAGATTGGTTCAATGTCCAACTCTAGGGAAGATGCTCATCTCTGTGAACTAGCATTGTCCAAAGACATTTCCATAGTCATGTGGCCAGAATAACTATAAGGAGATTATTGCTGTTCACTTAGTTTATTTGGAACCAAGTGTTCACATCCCAAATAGAGTTTTGTACACTTTTGTTCAATACATTAAAGAATGTCAAAACCACAATGCTTTCAAAGCTAGGCTAAAGCATGAAATTATATGGTGATAGCCGTGTTGGGGAGTTGATGCTGATTAAGGTTGGTTTTCATTGTGCAAATATTTCAGTAGCAAACTAGGTAGGATTACCAGTGGTTTTACAGAAGGGAGTAGACCTCACTGTTTTTAATGTGTGCCAGCTCGATCAGAGTTGTAATTTATGTTATTTGTTTCTGATTGGCCTACCTGGCTTGGTTGGCTGCATTGTTTCATTTCAGGGTGCTCCTGCCTATTATACTTATCGATGTGTTGATTGCTGAGTAGGTAATAATAGGGGATGTCCCAGGATGTTTGTTTCCTTCTTGGACTTTTGTTTCCTTTGGGAATAGGTATATTTAGCAGGATTATATATCATAGTGTTCTGTTACTCAGCTTTTGTGCAGTATTAAAATAATAATAGCATTCTAACATTTTTTTTCTGCAACCCTTGGCAACTTGCACTCCTATGATCCAGTTTCTTGGGCAAAATAGTAACTATTCAGTTCCCTTCAATCTATACCCTGTTGCAGTTATTGGATACTAAGCTCAGGTGAAGGGCACTTCTTTTATCGCACTGTGGCACACATAAACAGTGTCATTTTATCCTTCTTCAGTCTAGTGTAGTTGTTTTTGCTGTGATTCTGAGCTCTGACCCTGAGTAGGTTCCATAGGTGAGATTTTCATGGCCCTCACATTAAAATGAGATAAATATGTACAGTGAGGCAATAGTGCACAAAATCCCATAAATGCCAGAACAAGGTCTAGCTGGCTATGTTCAAGTTCTGATCCCCATTAACCTTCTGTGGTAACAACGCAGAGAAGAAATCAAAGCTGGCTAAATTTTATGAGACCACACCATTAATCTGGGTTACAGATAAAGATGTCGACCTCACCAATATTTTGTTTGGTTTCATAGCATTTCTGAACTATCAGGGGCATGGAATGCAAATGTTTTTAGCAACCTTTTACATGAAAATGATCATTAATAGGAGTACCAGATCTGGGAAGCAAAAATAGGAATAAGCTCTATATGAGAGCAAAGAGATTTTTCTGTATTTCTTTGCTGCTATCTATTATCCATTTTATAGCAGAGATACAATAGAACTTAGAAATACTAACATATATATAAGCTGCAAGGAGCAGCTGTTAAGATCTTCTTGCTCACTATTCTCCCCCCCTTTTTGTCTCTCCTTCCGAGCTGCTTCCATGCGTCCGTTTTCCACACCTGATCTTGATACATCGTTAGTTTCTCGTCCCCTCCCATAGCATACCAGACCCTTAGAAAGTGGGAGAGTCAAAGTTGCAATCCACAGAGTAGATGGCCACCCCTCATGGTGCAAAAGCAAGATCATGATTTTACAAATGGGGAAACTGTGATCCCAAGGGAAGACAGCAAACCTGAAAAAGGAGAGGGGGGCAGGGAACATTACAATGAGATAGCAACAGGCAAGACTGGATTGACAGGGCTATGGGTGAGACAGTAACAGCTGCTATGGGAGGGGACGAGAAACTAACGATATATCAAGATCAGGTGTGGAAAACGGACGCACAGAAGCAGCTCGGAAGGAGAGACAAAAAGGGGGGGAGAATAGTGAGCAGGAAGATCTTAACAGCTGCTCCTTGCAGGATTGGGGAGAGAGAGCTACGGGCAAGACAACAGCAGCCGTAGGGGAAGATGACAACCCTACAGGGCATTTGAAATGCATAGTCACAGTTAAGTGCTTTTCATAGTTTGTAAGGTAGTACATATGTACGGTAGCATATATTGACTTGCTCTGGCTGCTGAGCTATATTCTTCCTTAGCAGGAAAGCCAGCAACTTATGGGCCCTCCCAGGTGTTATGTGAGACAACTTAAGAAAGGTAATTGATGGATTTCCTCAACATCACCTACCATCAGGAAAAACAATAATAATAACTGAATACAAGAGTTGACAAATACCTAGACGATCTGTCAGAATTTTGTAGGTGAACCAAGAGAGAGGCCAGTCTGCTGGTAAAGCAATATTTTACCAAGTATAACCCACTCACCAATGGTGGGATTCAAATATGTGAAAACCAGTTCTCTGTGTGGATACCGCTTCCGGAAATCCATTCTGGGCCTGGGCAACAAAAAATTAGCTACCGGTTCTGCCAAAGTAGTGCGAACTAGTTGAATCCCACCACTGCCACTCACCCAACATTAATCAGTGCTTTCTGTCAGGTTACAATAGAGAACATCACTTGATTTATCAGGCAGATAGATGTCAATCAGGCATTTTAGAAAACTGATGCTAGAAGACCATTCCTTCAGTTACCATTGGCACTATCCAGGCCTTCATTGGCTGCCAGGACTGAGAGAGACAAGAAGAGATGACAGGCAGCAACTCTGTTGACTCTCCAATCCCATGGAGCATTCTTTTGGGAGATTTCAAAACTTCTTCTTCACTTGCCATCTTTCTAAACCTTGACAGCCTTGAGATTTATCAAGGATTACAGAACTAGGAAGAAAGATATTTTGTGTTGTGGGAGATCCCAGGCTGAACACAAAAGAG